AATGAATCCAAGACCATACTGCTCGGAACCGGATCCATTTTTCCCCCAGGCGAGACGGTTAAATCTCTCGGGGCTCTGCGACTCACCAACCACAGGGAGATCACGATCCTCTGATTGAAAATCGAGCTTAAAAATCTCGATGCTGGCCGACGAGCTGAAGGACAGATCCACCGCGCCGGCCATCGTCCCGGCGGCCATGTAGGGAGCGTCCGGCGCCAGCGCCATCGACGCCGATCTGTTCGCTGACTTGATATACGCCATAATGGAATCAAAAGAAAGAAGCTCGAGTTACTGCAATCTACGAATTGTCCACAGCACGGAACGCCTGGCACCACGCCCAATTTCCCAGACGTTGAAGCGCCTCCGAATCTGCTCCGCTCGTATCCGCAAAAAAGAATCTCGATAACGCACTCAGATTCAAGATGAAATTGGCAATTAGGGATTTGATTTCTCTTTTCTTTGTCTCTCTCCCCCACCGCAATCCTCTTCTCCCCTTTTTCTTCTTTCTTCCTTCCTTGTCTGCGTTTGTGTTTATATGAATGGATTGAACCATTTGTGCGAGTGTGAACGACTGTGCATCTAATTTTGCTTCATTTTCTAATAATTTTAATATTATTATATTTATTTATTTATTTTCAGTTTCCTTTGTAATTAATTACGGTATTGTTTACTATTTTTTTATAAAAAAAATTAGGATTGTTTACAACCATTTTTTCGTTGAATCGGTTTTGTTTTCTCTGTGTTTCTATATGTTTTTTATCTTTATGAGATGAGAATTACTAGTTTTGTGAAGTGGAAGGAACTCTGGACCACAGTGCAACGGGGTAGAACCAGAGGCTGAACAACCGAGGAGGCCGTCGCGTTTCTTCTGTTGATTGCATTCTTTTGTCAGCATACCAAACCATGCTTGACACGTGTTATGATTTTTGTTAGGTTTAAATATAATATATAAATAAATGGTTAATAGCATTTTATACTTTTACTATTGTAAATTAACAAACATACCATTATATTATTTTTAAAGTACAAACGTACTCTTCTAATATCGAAACTGAATAAAAATGCACATCCGTCCAAAAATTTGTTTATAGGTCGTTTAATGCTTGACCCAATTACTCTTGAATTATACTAAAATGTATTTTTAACTTGTTTGTTTCTTGGCCGAAAAACAATTACCCTAATTCGTATCCATCTCTCGTTGAGTGTCCATGATTCGTCTTCTTCATTCACGCTGCCCATAATCGTTTATCATTATCATCTTCATAAAACTAACCTAGCTAATCTTTCGGCGCTCAACTACACATTTGGCGCCAACTACTCCATCGGCAGCGAGCTGCTCCGTGGCGCGCGGCCGAAGCAGACTTCGGTGGTGCAGCCTTCGACGGCAGCGACAAGAGCAGACATCAGCAATTGCAAAGTTTGGTGGGTGAGAACATAACTTCTCCCTGCTCCGCTAATCGCCCCTCCGATCAACCGACGTGGAAGACTTATGCCCCCCCCCCAACCCCTCTTTCGCCTGCAACCCCAAATCCTCATTGTTCAAAAAAAAAATGCAACCCCAAATTCCTTTTTGATCTCTGCTAATACGAAGCTAGATAATTTTCGGCCCTAAATGGCTGCCCGAAGGAGCCTCTCAAAATCGGATGCGACTTTGTTGACTGTCGACTGTGAATTATGTTTTAGGAGGTTGGGGTTTACACGACAGTCTAAGGGGAAGAGATAGTAAAACTATTTTTTTTCTTCTTAATCTAAGAGAAAAGGGACATCTATGTTTAAGGGGTAAATGGGTAAAACTATTTTTTTTTTATTCCTCCATAACCCCTTCCAACACAGCCTCCTTTTTCTCCTTGTCATTTTCATCACCTATCTCACGCTAGTGTTGATGGTGTTGATCCTCTAACACATCACGTAGATCAGGGTCATCATGAATATCACAATCTCTGTCCCTCCACAAGTCACTTTGCTCTTCAGGATTTAGGGCAACCTTGTAAGCAGCCCTGTCTCATTGGCCAATTCTTTATATCCACTTTCAACACCTATGACCAACAAAACAAAACTATATAATTAGATAGACATAACACAATAAGAATGAACCAACCAAAACAGCCAAACTGTACAAGGTGAAATGGACTTGGCTTATAAGAAACGAAAAGCTGCAGAATATAGCTTTTTCCATATGTGATTTTGATAAAAGCAATCCCAATTCATTTAAATAATCAAAGAGACAAAAAGAACTAAAAGAAATATTTTTTCAAAGAATAATCAGCTTGGGGAAACAAAGAAAAAATTAGCTAAGTGCACTTCAATAGCATATTAGCAGGCAACAAAGACGAGTATTACATATATGATATAGTTTGTATATGTAAGTATGAAAACATCTACCAGATTGTCTTCCTCCTACAAGGCAATGCTTCAATCCCAGCACCATTGTTATCGTGTTGCAGTCAAAGAAATCGCCAGAGTTAAATCTCTCGCACCCAACCTGAAACATTAACATAATCAATCAAAGCAAGCCTAAAATCGATGGAGTCTACTATACAATCCACTTCTCAGCCATGATATTACTATTGGTGATAGGAATGACAAAAAAAAAAACCTAAAATATAAAAATCAAATTGGATCAACTGGACTGGTGGTAATCGACGACTCACCTAGAACAAGCAGCAGTGGAAGAAATTGATTCGGCGGCAAGAGTTTTTGGCCGATAGTCAACTTCTTTGCCGACAAGAGTCGAGCGGCGGGAAAGGAACAAGATTACCTTTGAATTTTGTGAGAGGAACGTCAGAACAAAAACCTAAAATCAAAATTCGATCATCCGGCGGCAGTCTATGACTCACCTGGCTTCGGTCGACGGAACAAGAAGCAATCGTGGAAATGGATTTGAAGGCCAGAACTTCGTATCAATAATCGATCTCCTTGCTGGCAAGAGCGGACCTACAAGAAAGGGACGAGAATACCATTGGATTTTATGAATTTGGAGAGGGAAGTAGTTGTTCATGGAGACTTGATTGAAGAAAGAAAGCTATTTTAAAAATAAAATGGTTAGGGTAACGTGAGTGAGTTTGGATGAACCCTTTTGGTTATTATGTTGCGTAGAAAGTTGGTTAGATAACATGTGGCATTTTTTTATATTTTATTTATAAGTCAGCATGCTGACTGGGCAAAGTGGACGGAAAAATGGATGGGAGTAGACAGAAATACCATTTTAGTTGTAGTGTGTAATACTTTTGTGACCATTTCGTTACGTTTGAAACGTTTGTGATTTTGTTACAAAGTCAAACCTATAGGACCAAAATGATTAATTATCCCATTTCTTCGGTTGATTGCATTCTTTTGTGAGCATACCAAACCATGCTAGACACTGCCGCAACCGTCCCATCACTCCCATGGGGGTTCGAGGGTCGCATTCGCTTTTTGGGAGTCGCCATCGATCTTACTTGGAGTGGATCGAGCACTCTTCGAATCGGCTATAACCTAAGGGTCAGAACCGAGATATGGTTTGCGGTTAAGAGATTCGGGTTCGGGAGTACGGTTACTTGTGGGGAAGTGAAATCACACCCCCACAACGCCATAAATGGGTACTACTTAAGTTGATAAGTTTTATGTGTTGGGTGTTATTTTGGTAATTATTATGTATTTTAAAATCCCACTGGACTATTAATATATTGCTTATGACTTAACTAATGCGTCATTGGACGTTTAGTTCATGATTATATATTTTTAGGACCTTACTGGACCATTAAATAAATTAAATCGTATTAGTTGTAATTAAATTATACACCCACCGACGTAAAATATTGAAGATAAAATGATTAGTTAGTTGGGCTCGAACCTTATTGGTTGCCTACGTACCCGTTAGACGGGATCAAAGTCCACGTAGTTCGTTAGAACTTTGATAATTTAATTGTAATCACGTTCCACTGATCGTGATTTTCGTATTATAATTTTGTTAATAAAACTTCATTTAGATTATTATGAGGTTGTGACAATAAATGCAAGGATTTTAGTTATTAGGAAGTATTTTGATATATTATAGAAGAAACAAGATAAACATAATCCGCATTCAACATTTCGTATTAAGGATTTTAAATGAATAAACTTAAATAGGATAGTTAGATAAACGCATGATAGGCCAGCAGCCCAACTGGTATGACTGTCGCTTATAATTCGTGTGCAGGCCATACCACATGAGTTCAAAACTCGGTAAGAGTGTTAATTTTGGTGTTTTTCATTTTGAAACTGAAACGAGGAGGGGTATTTTCGTACTTGCAATGCACGGGTATATAAACCCTTTTTTAAGAAACCCTAATCTAACCTAACGCCAAACGCGCCCCACTCTCTCGATTCCTCCGCTCACTCTACTCTCTCTCTCTCTCTCTATTCTTCCTCTGCTTCTTTCTCTTTCCTTCTCCTCTCCTCTTCCGAGACTACACATGACAACGTAAACAAAGAACAAAAAAAAAAAACGAAACCCTTCCCCTGAAAGAGGAGCCCCGACCCAAACCCAACTTCTCTCCTTCGACCGGTATTCCGAAATCGACGAGAGGGAGATGGGAAAAACGACGGTTCATTCTTCTATCCCTCTATCTGCTCTGCATTTCCTTCAAGAGACTGAAAACCTAACTAAACGCTCTCCTCGTTTTTTGAATCTCCGCCCCTACTTCTCGACTGGCCTAATCAGATACTCAGATCGAACTAATCCAACCCGGGTAAGATCGAGACATGCATGCCCTTCTCCTTTGGATTTTCAGTATTTAGGTTGGTTTTAGAGGCTAACATGAGTTTTCTTTTGGGTTTTGTGTTTTGGGCGATGGGGGAAAGGAGGGCAAAAGGGGGCGACCGGAGGAGAGGAGGACTCGCCGTCAGTGAGAAGCGTCGGCGACAGGGGAGTAGACCGGTGAGTTGAGCTTACCCTTTTTTATCTCTTAGATTTGTTTTAATTCGAGGGTTGTGATTTTATTTTGAATTGTCATGGGGTTGGCGGTGGTGGATCTGATTTTGGGAGAACGATGTCAACTGAGGCCGTGTCGCCGACGTTTTCCTGGTAAGTTTTGTTCGGTTTTGGTATTTTGATTTTTCTGGCTAATTTCTTGAGTACTTCAATCTAACTATTGGTATGGTTTGATAATAGGTTCGAGAAAAATAGAGATCTAAGTGAGGTTCATCCTAAACTCTGGCTTAGTATGGCTAGGTGGATTGAACTAAAATAAGAGGTTGGCGTTGTTGTGGATTTGAAAGATTTTCTTGCATATGTTCTGGAATTTTCGGTGTTCGGTTGATTTGATATATGGTTTTAGATAGAGCTCTAAATATGCTAGAAGTTGCTAAAATAAAATTTCTCTACAATGAAAATTTAACTCTAAATTGTTAGTGTTAGCTATTGTAAATCACTGCCTCTGCCCGTGATTTTGCTAGAATATGTACTATAAATCACTGCTACTGCTAATGCTTGTGATTTTTATTAGATTATGTTTGGTTATTAATGTCATATCCCATTCTCTAAAATCTTGAAATAATATTTTTGCTCCGGAGCGTATTTAAAATTTTGAAAGCAAGGAAATAATAATGTGCTTTAAATACCAATACTGAAAATAAATTGTTATAATTCATACGCAAAGCCCTAACACTTGGGCAAACCTCAAACCATAAATTCTTATCCTTTTAAATCTCCAGTCATTACTCATAATCATAAAGAAAATAAACCATTGTCTCAAATGTCTGCTTACTCAGATCAGTGATCAGACATCTTCAGAAGTGCTCACGTGGTCCTCCTCTGGTAGCCTGCTCTCTCACTCGATGCTCCTCGACTGGATGCTCCCTAGCTCGTCCTCTATGACCTGGTGAGTGGGTTGGGGTCAGTCTACGCCATTACTTAAACTTGAAGCACTTACGTGTATTCCCTTAAGTGTTCACCTCAAAACTTGTGGAAGTTATTTATACTTCCACCCTTTAAACTTTACCTCTTAAAACGTGGGAGTTACTGTTACTCGCCACTATCAAAACATTAAACCTTTGACAGACACTAAGATCCCCTCACTAACTAGTCCAGCCACCCAGCTCATACGTATGAGGGCCAACATAGGCCTTTCCTTAAAACCTTTTTATGAGAGTAATCGATTCGACCCCATAAACCTTAAGAGTATATCATACTCTTCCTTTAAACTTCATGTGATGTCTAAGTGATTCATCCAGCAAACTTGCTCTTCCTGTAAACTTTCACTAGGGCGGGGGACTGGCGTTAGTGAACTACCTTTAAATCTTTTCACCCTAATTTAATCAGGAGTGAAATACCTCTTAAATGTTGATCCTTAAAGATCAAACAACCTTCATTATATTAAATAAACATAAATATAAAAGTTTCAAGTAAATACTGAAAGCTCAAATAATCATATACTTCACAATCATAATTCAGAGCATCTCAGATAATATCTCAAATAAAATGTGCTTTATCAATCACGACATAAATTAATCACTAGCATACAATTCACATAAACACACATACTTAAAACTCGCAAGTCAAATACTTGAAAATACGTATGGCGCAGAATTTACCCCCTTAAACCACTCACCTCTCAAATGACGATCCTTACTTCCCTTGACGTGAAATCTTTAATCTGATTGCTCCCTTAATCCTATAAACCGAAATTATCTTCCCTTAGTCGGTAATCATAATATTTTAGTCACTTTGGCGTATTGGGAAAAATTCCCCTCCTTAATTACTTAGTCCAAAAATCCTTTAAAATTTATTATAATATATCAAAATTATTTTCTCATAAAATCCTTATAAATTTATCAAAATATATTTTCCACTTAAAACTCCAAATTCTGACCTTGGTTAACTCAAATCATCAATTCCCATTAATAAACATAAACTCCATCCCTTTTAAATAACCTATTTTTCCTATTAAAATGAATCATAATATTTTTAAACCGAGTCACAAAAACTAATAATTCTGATCCATAATTTTATAACATCAATAAATAATCCTAGTTTCAAGGAAAACTAACAAATCACCAAAACAACTTCGTACAGTATTTTAATTTATTACAATCAATAATTTCAATTTTTATAAATACAAATACAGATCCAAAAATTCTAAAATTTATAAATTGCAAATGGTTAGATACATTTGGGTCTAGCACAGTTGATATATTGAGTCCTGTAGTTTCAGATCATTGCCCTGTGTATGTCAATACAGATAGTTCAATCAAATCTCTTCCCAAGCCGTTTAAGTTTTTTAAGTTCTGGATGCAAAATGAAAAGTACTGGGACTTGGTGAAGGAGGCTTGGAGTTCAGAAGTTAGTGGTTCTCCTATGGAAAGAGTTAGTAGAAAGCTCAAGATACTAAAAGGTTTACTGAAACAGTTGAACAAAAGGGAATACTCAGATATTCATGAAAGGGTGCAGCTTAAGGAGCAGGAATTGCTAGTAGCTCAGGCTAAAGCTCTCCAAAATCCTTCACCTAAATCATTTCAAGAAGAAGCTCAACTATCTGCTGCTGTTAAATCAATTAGGGAAGCTGAGGAATCCTTTTTGAGGCAGAAATCAAGGGAAATCTGGTTACAGGTGGGAGATTCAAACTCAGGGTATTTTCATAGGTCTGTAAAAATCCGAAACAAAAGAAATATGATAAGGTCTCTTATTAATGAAGAGGGAGTTAGAGTAACAGATACTAATAGTATGTGCAAAATAGCAGAGCAGTTCTATAAACAATTGTTGGGGCAGAAAGATTCATTGGTCCAGGCAAGTAGTGTGGCAGAGATAAGTGATCTCCTACAGTTCAAGGTGAATGAAGCTCAGAGGGTTGATTTGGTTCGTCCAGTTTTGGAGGAAGAAGTTGAAGGTATTCTATTTGGTATAAAAGGGGATAAAAGCCCAGGACCTGATGGATTCCCAGCCTGTTTTTTTCAGTCAGCTTGGCATATAGTGGGGCCTGAAGTTACTTCTGCTGTGCAATACTGTTTTCTCAATTGCTCTCTGGCCTCAGGTCTCAATTCCTAAGGTTCAGAATCCTGAAGAGATGAAGCTATTTAGATCTATTTCATGTTGCAATACACTTTACAAGTGTGTGGCAAAGATACTTGCTGCTAGACTTAGTTTAGTGCTTCCTTCCTTAATAAGTCACAATCAAACTGCTTTTATAAAAGGAAGAGTGATAGGGGAGAATATTTTGCTAGCTCATGAGCTAGTTCAGAAATCCAATCGTAATGATATATCTCAAAGAAGTATAGTCAAGGTGGATATCATGAAAGCCTTTGACTCAGTGGATTGAGACTTCCTAATCATAGTGTTAAAAGCAATGAACTTCCTTGATCTTTTTGTGAGATGGATTGTGATGTGTATTACAACTCCTAAACTAAGTGTTGGCTTTAATGGGGGTATAGTAGGGTACTTTTCAGCAAAAAAGGGATTAAGACAAGGGGACCCATTGTCCCCATATCTGTTTGCTATTTCTATGGAGATTCTTTCCTGTTTAATGGTTAAGGTAGTTCAAGAGGGTAAAATGCCTTTTCATCCAATGTGTAAGAGGCTGGGATTGACCCATTTGATGTTTGCTGATGAGGGCTGTCACTCGGTCGGTTTCGGTTTAACCGAAAACCGAATTGTCGGTTATCGGTCAAACCGAGACTCGACCAGAGCTACCGACAACCGACCGTCTGTGAGCCTCGGTTAGCCGCAAACCGACCGACCGGTTTCCGGTTTTGGCTCGGTTAGCCGGCCAACCGGATACTACCTTTAAAAAAAAAAAAAAAGAAATTAACAATAAATCTGCACCACACACTCCTAACCTAACCCTCTGTTTCTCGATTCTTCTTTCCCCTACGTTTTCTCAATTCTCTTTCCAGACCATCTCTCTCCCTACCTCTCTCTATTCTCTTCTTCCTCTAGAAGGAAAATCGAACAACCAACTCCCTCGATTCTTCTTCCCAGACTCTCTCTCTCTCCCTATTCTCGCCTCCTCCCTCGATTCTCTCTCTCGATTCTGCTGGTGTTGGCGAGGGGGCGGGGCGCGGCGACGGGGGCAGGGCGCAGCGACGGGAGCGGGGCGCGGCGACGGGCGCGGGGCGCGGCGACGGGCGCGGGGCGCGGCGACTGGCTCGGCGACTGGCGCGGCGACGGGAGCGAGGTCAACGACGGGCGCGGCGACGCGGAGCGAGGTGCGGCGACTGGCTCGGCGACTGGCTCGGCGCGAGGATCTGGCCTCCATGCAGAGGAAGAAGAGTCGAAGGAGTTAACTGAGGAGGAGAGGTGAGGGTCGGATCTGCTGTGGAGTGGAAGGATTTGTAGGAAGAAAGAGAGAAGAAGAGTCGAAGGAGTTAGGGAAGAAAGAGAGAAGAAGAGTCGAAGAAAGAGAGAAGCTGGAGTGGAGGGTTAAACTTCTCTTTTTTATATTTTCGGTTGTGGGTCGGTCGGCCGGTTAGTCGCGGTTAACCGGCTTCGGTTACTCGGCTAACCGGACCCCTGCTTTCCTCTACCGACAACCGACCGACCTCTTCAAAATCGGTTTTTCGGCTAGCCGAAAACCGGTCGGTTCGGTTGAAACCGACCGGTTAGCCGCTAACCGGAAAACCGAGTGACAGCCCTACTGAAAAGTCAAGAAGCAAACAGCCAAAGGCCAGTAGTAAGGTAAACTTTCTTTTTCTTAAGCTTATATGCCAAATGGCCAAGCAGCACCTTGACCTTACCAAAAGCAGAGGACCCTCAAAAAAGGGAAGATCAAGATGCTCTCCTCTCCTCTGCCCTTTCGCTTCCTTTCCAATTTCCACCACTAGTATGCGATTACAGGTCGGCGGCGGCGGCGGCTAGCCGCCTGCCGACGTGTCAGGCTGAAGTGTCCAATGGGAAGCTGAGCTGGCCCCAGAACCACGGATCCCCCACCTACCTGGCTCTCTCCAGCAGCAGGTTGGGCCTCTGTCCTCTGCAATCGCTGCATGCCCACCACGTGTTCGACATAAGTCCCCAATGAGTCCCAATTTCCCCTCCTCGCCCCTGCCTTTCTATATATTCCTCCCCACTCCGCAACTCACAGAATCATCACAAATCCAAATCAAAAGAAACCCATATCACAGATTCACAGCTCTGCTCTCTTCTTCCTCTACTAATCTTTCAATATGCCTTCCTCAAACGTGTCCTCGCTGTCCATGGATACTCCTCTGTTGAACATCGCCATGCTGCTGCTGTTCCAGGCCACGAATGGGGAAGAACAACATGAAGCCCAGGTTTGCAGGCTTCATTACCAGCCTGCAGCTGGTAACAATGAAGCCGATGATGGCGATGATGATGACGATGGTGGGGATTTCGATTTCGCCCCTGCAGCTTGATTAGTCGACTGTGACATGCTTTTTTTTTTTTTGCAATCTGCTTGATTCAGTTTTGACAAGTAGCTACAGAGCTTTTGTAGTTTTGTTGTTCCTGTGGTCATTTTTGTAAAGGCTCGATCTCTTTGGGAAAATGGGTATGAGCCATAGAAGAATGATTTGACAGGGCCATGCAACGTATTCCATGGGTCGAAGTCATGACTAATTAGAAACTTGAGAGTGATCGTGATCATGATGTAATGTCTATCTCCAATTATTAATATAATTAGATATATCTTCTTTGTTCTTTCTGAATTAAATTGGATTATATTCTATGTTATTATAATATAACTGTGTAAACTAGGGCTAATAAAGTTAATCTGCTGTCATTTGCCAAGTTGCTAATTGGTAGTGTGCCACTATACATTATTTTGTCGGGTTGCATGATCATGATTGGGATTAAGCCTTTTCGAATAGAAGACAGAAATGATTACCATGAATTTTCTTCCACAAATGCATTCAA